GGGGGGGGGGGGGGGGGGATGCATACTAACTTTTATTGAGTATGAAACGATTTTCCCCAATGAAATAATAACTGAAATGTATTTCTTGAATTGAGAACGAAACTCATTTTAATACCAGTTTGATATCTGAAATTGACCCCGTGAGTGACTTACCCCTCCCCTCCCCCCCTCCCTTTTTTAAAAATCCCAACCCTTTACTGGTTCTTGGCATCATTGGATTAGAGCAGGCCAGCACAACTTACGGCCCGCCAGCACAACTTACGGCCCGCCAGCATCCACTTTGCGGCCCGCAAATGACAAAATATTTGTTATTATTAATATTTTCTTAATAGCTTTTTCCCTCTTTCCTATTTTCTTTCGGCCCGCAGCAGTTTTTCATTTTTAGTTGTCCCTGGAATAGAGCGTGGGATTTAGTGTGACATATCAATTATCAATGTCTTAAATTTATATTTAAAAGGATACACATGATTGGATTGTCTTTTAAAAAAAAAAATAAAAAAAAATTAAAAAGTTATCAACCAGTTGACGGTTTCAAAAACTATAACCGGAAATTCGATTATCCCTTTTAATTGTTCTGAGCCAGATTTTTTTGTGAACGTCCAGTAGCGAGATCTGTTTTCATCTTGATGCCCATTATTTTAATCTTGATGGCCATTGTTTTAATCTTATGCCAAATATTTTGAATTTTATGGCACTGTTGTTTCTGTAGCAAAAAAATATTTGTTTAAAACGGTTTTTATTGTCGCTAGCCCAATGCTCAATCGACGTCATTATTTACCCTGACAAGGGACAGACCGTGTTAGTCTTCTAATCGGGGAAAAAAAAACGCGAGGAAAAGACACAGCAAAGCAGGCGAATAAACGGTGGTCAGGTTTGCACCACCACCCTGTGCTTCATGTTTCCTAGGACTTCAACCTGAACGAAGGTCTCCCCAAAATTACATCGGAGTTTCAGTTAATTTGGTTTGAAAATAACAGATAGTTTTAGTTGTGGGGCTAGAGATAAGCAGCCATACCAGATACGACACCTCACGAAGAGCAGAGGGTTTTTTTTTTAAAGGGGGGGGGGGGGGGAAAAGGGGTAAAGAAAAAAAAGACATTCCAAAAAAAAAAAAAAAAAAGCATTACGGGGGGCCAGATTTAACCAGGAGTCTTAGGTTCTGTGAAAGGTACGGGATCGGTTTCGTGAGTCATTTGATGAAAGGTCAATAGCTTATCCTTCGTCTAGCGAAGTCGGAAGGTCGCCATATGACAGACAATGATAGACAGATTTAGTCTAGTAAATAATCAGTAGCAACTCTAATCGACGCGAGGAAAAACTTCAATTAAGTCAAGTGAACAAGTGGGTCACATTCTTTAACATTAGGTGATGCAACTATTATATAATGCGTACGTTTCTACATAGAGATGATGGGCTACCACTATTAATATAAGGATCTAAAAAAACTCTTTAAAAGAACATTTAAATGAAGAAAACTATTTAAAAAACAATAGCAACACAGTAAAACATTACAAATCCATACCTGAAGTAGTAGGCCCCTTCTTCTGCCACCAGAAGGATTTCCGTCCCGTCAGGTGAGATGTCCCCTCCCTGTGGATCATTACTCGTTGTGGTGATCTGTAACGTCGCAGTCTTACTCATGTCAAGGTTAACTCGTCCTTGACCCCAAGCGGATGCAGGAAGTTCTGTTATTTTAGCTTTCCCCCCGTGGACCTTTGATACTATAAATAGTCTTCCATCGGGGGAAACCATCAAAGTTTCAGCATCTGGTTCTGTCCAACTGTAGAAATATTTATTTAACTTATCATCAGTCATCTATTAAGTATCTTACGGCAATATCCCGAAGCCCAGCCAGTGACAGAATCGGCAGGCTGAAGCGCGAAATGGCAGAGTTGTGTTGCTAAGGTCTGACATACTTGAAATGACCAGAATATATGTTAATTTTAACGGGCTATTTCATGAAGTGGTTGGAAATCCCTGGCCGAATTTCAATCTGTGGATGCATGACTATCTTGCAGTTGCCATAATTGTCCCTGGTGGCTTTCTACTAACCAGAGAAAGAACACGGCATTCTCAAACAACGTCTATCCCGTGAAGGAAATGAATTTTCAATAATGCACGTGAAACTGCTCACACTTGAATCCTTGAATCCCCAGAAGAATTTTAAAAACAACATTTTTAAACGCTTGTTTAAAAGAATTTATTTTAAACACAACTTTAAACGCACTAAAATAAAGAAAACAAATAATTATTTTAAATTAAAAATTTATTAAAATGCATTTAGAAAAGAAAGTATGTGCGGCCCTCTGTGAAAGCAAAGGATTCGAATTAAATGAAGAAGAAACTTAAATAGATTTTAGTTTCATTAAATTTTGAAAAAAAAATTCTGCACACACTTTCTTTGTAAAAATCTTTATAAAATTGTTAAATAATTTGTGAGTAGCGAAGAACGTCTCAAGCCAATTCTCAAATGGGCCGGACAAATCGCTAAATAAGAAAATACTGGATTGTGACCGGTCAATGTAAATCTACGAAATTAGTAAAAAAAAATAAGATAAAACCTGAAAAAGGAACGAAACAAAAAAAAACGAACTTGTCGGCAGGAAGCCTTCGT